TTATTTAATGAATAATATTCTCAACAAATTAAATCTTAATCAATAAATTAAGTAAAAATAAATTCTTTTCTCAATTAAATCATAATTAAAATTCAATTACAATTTAAATCACAAAAGTAAATAATTTAGAAATTATACCATCAGATCTGTAGTTACTGATTACCCTTTTTGGCAATGTAAGACTTTTTTTATTTTTGTTTAAACTTTTTTTCAAGTTTGAAACTCGTTGAGGAGAAAAGGATATATACTTTTTCAATGACACTAGTCATTGGACCACAAAGGCGAAGTGCGGCAATGTAAGACTTGACCTTTTCATATGCTGGGAATTGAATTGCAACATGACTTATACCAGCCAGCAACACAAAATTTCACCGTTTCAAACCACAAAAATGCATTATGACCATAATGGTAAGAGAAATCACCTTCTTTTCGGTTGAAACCATGGCTACTGTAACTGCGGACTGTTCCAAACAGAGTAGAACAGAGCCACGAACCTATACAACCCTCGTATGCCACCTTCACACGTGATCCTTCCCAAAGTAGAAAGTACACGTCTGTACGGAACTACATCTGCCCTCATCCCCTGCGTCTGAATGAGGATGAAAAAAAAATTGAAAATGCAAAGCGACAAGTAAATGGAACAGCCCAAGTAACTATACTGTAACAGCTAACAAACAGCAAGCTAAAATTAAAATACCCCTACTTTTAAGAAAAAGCAGCGAAAATAACTCAACATTGCACATCTTTAGTGGTGAAACCATTTGAGAACAATTAATTTCTCTTATTTATTGCCAGAAGGCTTACATTTATGGTTCAAAAAATATGCCAGCTTGACCCATGCATCTGTCAAAGCAATGACAAGGAGGTTGATCCCCTGAACACCACACCATTTTGCAGTCATAAACCTTGTTTAAGAGTACTTCAGCAAGAGTGCATCATAAAGAAGCATAGCCTGTTGCAACAAGAGATTGTAGTCCAATAACTAAAACTAAGAACAACTACTGAACTCTTAATTATACAAGTGTTCTATCTATTGACACCAAATTCATATAGCTGGGCCATAAGTATATTTTAGAAGCTAGTCATCGTGACTTAAGTAAAGAGCAAGGCAACATATCACACAACCACTAAGGTACTGCCTCTACAATCTACATACTTATGGAAAACAGAATAACTAAAATGAGGACAACAAGCTTACTTGAAGTCTGGACTTTACAACCCATAATGGGTTTGTCGTAATGGCAGTTGCAGCACCCGCACCACCAGCAGCAACCATGTTGGCTCCAATTGTAAGTTGCTCAGAGCTGTCCCCTAAAATATGTCGACAAAAAATTGTTAATAAAGATCCATACAAGCAAATGCAGGAATGAGAAAACAAATAGTCAAATGAAAAGCCAAGAGAAAATCAGGAAGAACCAACCATATCAATGGAGTAGACCTTTCAGTTGCTCATCAACTGTGAAATACACGTAGATATAAAATGAGAATTCCTGTCAGTATGTAGAAAATGGTGTTTTCATTTACTAAATGGTTAAAGGAAAACGGTGTT